GATTGGAGGAGCCGCAGTGATAACAAATTTGATAATTAGGGGAGTAGATCTTTCTGTAGCTGCAAAACTGATTCCCCAAGATGGTTGTATTGTAAGTAAATCACAGATGTGTGTGAGGGTGCAGAAAGACTGGTTCATGTCTGATGCCATCATCAGCGGACATGGAGTTGGTGTGGTCATTGCCCTTGGAATGTACCCTCAAATGTTAGTGAATGGTGCACATCTGCTGCTATTCCCCATGTTCCTGGGTTTATCCTTGATATCAGTCTCGTAAAGTTACCCCTACATTCCCAATAAGGCCTTGATTTCAACTCTCCACATTTAACATCACTGCCTTGTTCTTACACTCTTGGCTTCTATTTAAAAAGCTAAAGAACATTCTCCACTTATTTTGCCACTGGTTTGTGTTCTGTCTCAGTCTCCAGTATTCCTGCACCCCTTTGGAAATTACATCATTTAGTTTTGATGCCATCTCTCATTCTTCCTCTAAAAACTGATTATTTAACACATCTGAATGTTAATTTCCATGTTCCTCAGTCTGCCCATTTCACCAGACTGTCTGTGCCCTCCTGAATTCTCTCATTATTCTCCTCACTAGCTCCTACATTTCTGTCATCAGCAAACATTGAAATGATGCTTTTATCCTGAAATCTAGCTTAGTATTAAATCTTTAAGTGAGTGCTTGATCCAGCCTCAAGCTCTGGGGATCAGCATGAGAAACTCCCCGTCCATCTGGAAAACAATAGTCACCACAACACTGTTTTCTGTGCCTTGGACAACTTCCAATCAAAGCATTGTTTAATTTTGAAATATGAACAAAAGGATACTTAAGCTGTTTAAAGCTGCAACCTGAGTGGTACTTTCCACAATCAGAATACTGCCATCAATTCAAAATTATGTTCTGTGTCCTTTACAATTGAGCAATGCTGTGTGTGAATTTCAGAGCCAGTTGGGATTGTTCAGCATGTATTATTCAATTACAGAATTAAATATATCTGTAGGCATTTTATTTTGGGCCTGCAAACACAGCCTGAATGGGTACGGTGTGTACTCTACCTATTACAAACAACCAAAGGGTCATGTTGCTTGAATGGATCAACCAATTACTGGGAAATATGGCTTTATGTATCTGACATTACACTGGCTCTGAAATTTCAATCAACCGCTATTTGTTCCCTCCACCACCAAACACCCCACCCAGTGGTGATGTTCAAACTTTGACATTCTTTCATTTGTTCTGATGAGTGCAAGACAAAGAGTTTCTCAACTTCTCTCTCTCTTAAGCAGTAGATTAAGTTTGTTCAAATCCACTTAGTGGAAATAACTTTTGAAAGTCCATATATACAACACTAAATGTATGACCCTGATCTACTTTGCCTGTTAGTTCATCAAAGAACTTGACTTAATTTGTCAAACACAACTTGCCTTTACAGATTGATTCTGACTTTCAAGTTTCTATTATCTTTTCCAACTGCTGAAATGCTTCCCCTGGATAATTGACTGGAAAGATTGCACCCACATTGCATTGACTGGTCTGCAGTTCAAGGATTTATTTTCCAGCCACTTGCCAAATCAAGATCCTCCAGTGTCATCTACCTGTTAATATGGAGGGTCACGAACAGAAATAAGATAACTAACACAGCCATGTACAACCTGTCCTGTTGACCTCCTCCCACACAGTAGCTGAGTATTTTCATTGAAATTTTTTGAAAGATTTGGCAAGTCATGCTGCAGAGAGAAGGTGAAGCATGAACTCTATTTCTCTGTCTATAAATGCTGCCTGATTTGCTGAATGGTTTCAATATTTTACATCAGGTTTCCAGTATCCACAGTATTTTGGAAGAGCAAATGGAAAACAGTGACAGTATTGAACAGAATCTGCATAGATTTACAAAAGAAATCATGCTTGAAATTCTGCTGGGGTTTTTCAAGGGCATACCATATAGAATTGATGAGGGGGAGCCAGTGGGGTTGGTTTACTTAAACTTTCAGAATGTTTTTGATGAAATTTCACAGAAGAGATTGGTATGTAAAATTAAAGTGCATTGGGATTGGTGGCAGTGTACTGACAAGGATAGTGAACTGGTTGGCAGACAGGAAATAATGGTTAGTCTTTTTCTAAGTGGCAGGCAGTGACTAGTTGGGTACCACAGGAGTCAGAACTTGGATCCCAGCTGCTTACAGCATATATCAATGATTCAGATGAGGGAAATAACTGTAATATCTTCAAGTTTGCAGATGACACAAAGCTGCATGGGAGGGTGAACTGTGAGAAGGATTCTTCAGTTTGATTTGGACAAGTTGACAATGTGGGAAAATGCACGACAGATGATGTATAATGTGGATAAATGTGAAATTATTCACTTTGGTCACAAAAGCAGGAAGGCAGATTATTATCTGAATAGCAACAGATTGGGAAAGCAGGAGGTACAATGAGACATGGCTGTCCGTGCACACCAGGCATGGACCATCAGGAGCAGTGATATATAGAGCAATCTTGGGGTGAAAGTCCAATTCCCTGAAATAACACAAGTGGATAAGGTGGTAAAGAAGGCGGATGGATGCTTGCCTTCATTGGTTGGAGCATTGAGTTGAAACATTGGTTATTTACATTGCAGCTGTATAAAACTTTAGTTAGGCCACATTTGGATTATTTTGTGCAGTATTAGTCACTGCGTTATAGGTAGGATGTGAAGGCTTTGGAAAGGGTGCAAAAGAAGTTTACCAGGATGTTGCTTGGATTGGAGTATATCAGTTGTAAGGAGTAGCTGGACAAACTTGGATTGATAAGGCTGGAGTATCTCAGGCTGAGATGTAACCTGATAGAAGTATATAAAGTTACGAGAGGCATGGATAGGGTGGATAGTTGGAGTCTTTTTTAAGGGGTGGAAATGGCAAATACAGGGAGGCATAGGTTTAAGGTGTGAGGGGTAAAGTTTAAAGAAAATGTGTGAAACAAGTTTTCATACGAGGGTGATAGTGCCTGGAATGCACTGCTGGGTGAGGTGGTAGAAGCAGATACCACACAATATTTAAGAGATGTTTAGACAAACACATAAACAGGCAGGAAATGTCAATGTCCGTGAAAGTGGGGTGTGTGCAGCTATGGGCTGGGACTGTGTCCTGGGATCTTGGTGTCCAAGATGGAGGCCCAGAGGAGTGAATGGTGAGCTGGAGTTACCAGGTATCCATTCAGACTTTCATGTCAGGAATTCTCAGTGTCCTGTTTAGTGGGAGAATATTAATGAGACTGGATTCACATTTAATGAAGGCGATAAGAGGCAATAATTCCCACTCAAAGGAATCTCACCACTCCCAAGCCAGAATCTCAAGTCTAAGTCTGGAACTCATTTGGAAAACATGACTTGTTGCTCCTGACAATGGAGAAAGGGCTCGCTGGATTACTCACGCGATTCCTCCAGATTTCCGGTCATGGTTCACGTCATTCAGACACTGATCAGATTTATGCCGTAAGGTTTACAAATTGAGCACTGCACTGTGCAGGTTAATACCCAACATCTTTGTTACACAAACCTTTAGTGTTTCACTCTATAGTAAAGGGAATCTATTATCTTATTAACACTGTACTAATTTCCTTCAATTACACTCACTCCTGCTGTGATCAGAAGCCTGTGAGAACACAGTTTAAATTAATCCTATCCAGATTAGCCACCCCGTCTTTGTCCTCCTCAAGAATAACACGAAAACATGTCTATATTTTACAGGCATATTCCCTGATCAAAAATTAATGAACGAGTCTTGTTTTTGTGTGATTTATTTATCTCACTATTTTGCTCTGCCCTTTTCTGGAATGTGGTTTAAAATATTGCTGCTGGAATCAGGAAATGAAACTGGAAGTATTTCACTGAACACTGATCACCATTTTACTGAGAGCATAGAACACGACAATCAATCCTTCAAGATGGAAGATGATCTTTCCTGTGCTGTTTGCCATGATCTGTATAAAGATCCTGTCTTACTCGACTGTGATCACAGCTTCTGCCGATCCTGTGTAACCCTGTACTGGGAGAAAGCTGACACTGCCTGCTGTCCTATCTGTAGAATAGAGACTTCCTCCAAGATCTTGAGACCCAACCGCACTCTTTCCAACATCGTGCAGACATTTGTAAAAAGCAGTAAATTTGGTGAAATTCAGCAGAGATGCAGCCATCACAAGGAGAAGCTGAAGATTTTCTGTAAAACTGATAATCAGCTCATCTGTCTTGTTTGTCAGGTTTCGAAAAATCATCAAAACCACCAGTTGCTGCCAGTGGAAGAAGCTGCTGAAGAGTTTAAGGTAAGATACCAGGAAAAATAAAGTACAGAACCAGGAACATTCAGTGATGCAGGTTTGAGCATCTCTCAATAATTATTATTCAATTACTCAATCTTTAGATGAAACTTTTCTTTCCCAGAAATCAGGAACCAAGGGTGAAAGATTTCCCTTTGTCTCAGCTTCACTTCAGATCAACAGAAAAAAAAAAATTATCCAGCGCTTTTAATGTAATAAAACATCCCAAGACCTTTTGCGGGAATGCTATAAATTAAAATTAGGCACTGAGTCACTACAGGTGATATTAGGACCATGACCTGAAGTTCGATCAAAGAGGGACAGGTTTCTCTTGCGGAGAATATTCCAGAAGTTCACGGCCAGGATTGCTAAAGGTGCCACCGTTAGTGGGGGAGTGATTAAAATTAGGGATGTTCAAGAAGCCAGAATTCGACAACAGCAGGTGTCTAATACGATTGTGAGGCTGAAGGAGATTCCAGAGAAAAGGGGAAGCAAGACCAGGAAGAGATTTTAAAACAAGGGTGTGTAAGGTTTAACATTCAGGAGGACCAGATTATCCAAAGTAATTGGTTGAGAACTTATCAAGTTAAGTTTATTAAATTTACTAAGAAACAACAGTTCGGATATCATAAAGAATCGAAATATGGAGATAGGCCATATGCCGTGTACCAGGTGTGAACTGTTTCCAGGTTCCAGATCAGACAGATGGATTGAGGGAAGCAGGAAGAAGCTGGTCTCCATGGCTGACAGTTCATTCTTCTCAGCACGCTAACTTTTGTGACATTCTCAGGCTGCTCACATGGTGAGTGAAAGCCTGCCCTGGCCCCTCCTCAACATGGAGCGACCCATCCTGCACACCCCATGACTGATTCTCCACTTTCTCACTCTACCATGTGAAAAAAACTTTGTAACCTTGACCATTATAATACATTCCAAGGGTGTGGCGTGTCACTCACTCTGACTCTTGTTGTCCCAGTGACACTGCCCTGTAACCTTGGAAAGCGCAATATATATGAAGGATCCATTCCCATGTCCTTCTGATTCAGAGTCCTGGGGGCAGTGAAGGTTCCCGTATGGCTTCACATGAAAGCACTGCCAAGCCTCCCCCTCCCTCCCTCCCTTCGTCTACTCAAAGCTGTTGCATATGAGTTGCCCCCTCAGAGGGAGTTCATTGTAACGATCGACCTGGTTGGGAGTTTGGGATTCTGGCAGTCTATCTCACAGCAGTGTTTACGGTTGAATGAGCACTTCATGTGAGCCTTCAGTTCATAGCTTATTTCTGACACAATGTCCAGCTTACTTTCAATTTTGAATGTTGTAACTGTACATGAACTGAACTTCCAGAGCTCAGAACCCTCCCCCTTGCCCCATGCAATCTGTGAGGGACAGTATTTTGAACGTATTGAAAAGATGGTGAATTTTCAATTCTCATTGTAATCTTTCACCATAAATCCTCCCTCTGTAAGCTATAATCCTCCCCCATAGCACTTGATGATCTGATCTTTCCTCTGTTCCCCACCCTCTGCCATGCTCCTCTCTCTTGTCACTGTGCCCTATTTCAGATTTTCCATTGACCTCCTTGAAAATCCCCACCCCCGAGCCCAGAACCATCCAACATCCCATTCCAGCCCTACCCTGACACTGCCCCTTGTCCAACTCCCCCAGTCCCTCACCCTCACCAACACCATCATCATCCCATTCAGTTCCTTACTCTGATCATGTAACTCACACCATTCCTTGTTCACCTTGCCCCCATCACTGTCAATCTCCTCTCTGCTTCTTTCAACTTCTCCAAGCACACCCTTTAAGCTAACTTTCCTGCGTATGCTTTTCCCCCTTCCCACTATTATCTGGGTCTTTTCAGTTTAGAATTCTTTTGTGAAAATCACCTCCTGTCTGTCTCGGACCATATCTGTGCCTTTAGCCAGCCTGGGTGCCTCACTTGGGTAAGCTATTAGCCCTGGATCTGCTGCCATTCTTTACTGCTCCTTAACCCGTTGGATAAGTCTGATGTGACAGTGGCTACTTCCAGGCTGGAGTCCTGCTGTGACCGAGTTCCAAATAGAGCTGTTACCTCAGGAGCCTGGTGTTAGGCACATGAGCCACGTTCCCATGAACCAGGGACAAGGGGCTGAATGACCTATTCCTGCTCTGATGTGTCTGCTCAGCCTATTGTATCTGAGCTGGCTGATAGAGAGCCATCAGTCCTGATCCCATCTTCCAGCTCTTGTTCTGGAGCTTTGTAATAGGTTTTAGATGTGATGACTGTTTCTGTCTCTCCATCAATTTCAGGCAGAGAATACCAACCCCTCATCATTATCAGTCTGTCAAGATTTCTCAATTCCTCTCTAATTTTTTCATCAATTCCACTAACTCTATTAATGAACTCTCTATGTCCTCCCTATCCACTCTCTTATGGCCCCTCATAATTTCGTACATCTCAATTTGATCTCAATCTCCCCCATCCCAAAGGAAACAATCCTGGTTTATTTAATCTTTCCTGATGTGTAAAATTCTCCATGGTAACATACTTCTCTGGTGTGATCTCATCCTTCCTGTAATGTGGTGAGCAGAACCGGACACAATGTTCTAGCTGTCGTCTAATTAATGATTTCTACATTTCAAACATAACCATCCTGCTCTTACATTTTATACACTGACCATTAAATAAAATATCTATATGTCTCTTTAACAACATCACGTGCCTGTCCAGCTACCTTCAGGAATCTGTGGACATGTTCTCCAAGATCTTTCTGTTCCTCTACACCTCTCAGTATCTGACTAATCATTGTGTATTCTATCCAAATGCATCACCTCACACTTCTCCAAAGTGAATTTCATTTACCACTTCTCTGACTGTTTGTTTCACTGAACACCATGAAGAAACATTTTTTTTTTCCATTATTCATTCTTGGGATGAAGGCATCACTGGCTCAGGGTAGCATTTATTTCCTTTCCCTAATTGTCCATCCCTAATTGCCCAGAGGGTATTTAAGAGTCAACCACATTACTGTGGTCTGGAGTCACATGTAGACCAGACCAGGTAAGAATAGCAATTTCCTTCCCTAAAGGATATTCATGAGCCAGAGATGGGTTTTCCAAAAAAAAAATATTCATGGTTATCATTAGACATTAAAACATCTGTCATGGTGGGATTTGAACACAGGTCCCTAGAACATTATCTGTATCTAAGGAAAGCAGCCCAGCCATAATACAAGGAGGCCATCGCCTCCTACTTTTGTAACCTTGATTCAACAAAACCACAGAAAGTTGTGGTAGAAAGAGGCCATTCAGTCCATATTTTCAGTCCATAAAACAAAAATTTAAACACTAGTCACCCATTCTGATCCCACCTTCCAGCACCTGATCCATAATCTTGCAGGTTACAGCACCTCTAGTGCCTCCACAATCAAACTAGGCAGCAAATTCCAAATAAATGTCACTAATTGACTAAATGTTTTTCACTCTTGGAGGGAAACTTGAAGATAGTCATGTTCCCATATATCTTCCACCCCTGCCCATCTGGATGGAAGTGGTCATGGATCTAATCCTTAATTTATTCTAATCATTCTCTCAATCGTCCTGAGTCTGTGACCCCTTACTAGTTGAACTGTCACTGAACGCGAACAAGTCTTCCCTGTCTAGTCCATCCTATTACTGACACTTCAATCAAGTAGCGATAACCTGCTCACTGACACTCAGTTTGTGTCACTCAGTTCCATAGACAGTACCTTTTAAACACAGGGCCATTACCATCCAGATGGATAAGGGCTGAGATAAAATGTCGGCTTCACACCTGACAGCATGCTGAACGTTTACCTCAGAAGCTGCTAAATGTAAAGCAACAATTATCCTGGAAAAATACTTTCTGATTATGAATTTCAATTTAATGATGTTTAATTTTGGGGGAACGTATTTCTGAAAATGTGCTAATTAATTGATGATTTTGTTCAGGGGGAACTGCAAACCTCCCTGAAGCCAGTTCAGGACAAGAAGAAGGAACGGGAAGCTGTAAAAAGTGATTATGAGAAAACATTTTCCCACCTTCAGGTACTTTAATCTTATTTTGTTCTATATTTTGTACAGAACTGTAGCCATTCAGAATTGTACTGTGCAGAATTCCAGTCTCCATATTATAAATAAATATTGCATGAATTAAACTGGATCTCATAATTTATCACTTTTGGGAATGATGGAACAGGTTGTGACTCATTTCTCTGGAAAAGAGAAGACTGAGGTTAGCCTGATTGATTTTTGTTAAATTATAACAGGATTTGAAAATGTGGATACAGAGAATATGGTTCTAAACATTACATATCTACACATTAACAAGATTATGAATTAAATAGATTGGGAATGTTCTTCTCAATAATTTACTGACATATAAATGTGCATTGAGTATAGGAGTTGGGAAGTCATGTTGCGGCTGTACAGGAAGTTGGATAGGTCACTTTTGGAATACAGCATTCAATTCTGGCCTCCCTGCTACAGGAAACATGTTGTGAAACTTGAAAGGGTTCAGAAAAGATTTACAAGGATGTTGGAGGGTTTGAGCTATAGGGAGATGCTGAATATGCTGGGGCTATTTTCCATGTAGCATCCGGCTTTGAAATGTGACTTTATTGAAGTTTATAAGATCATGAGAGGCATGGATAGGGTGAATAGCCAAGGTCTTTTCTCCAGGGTAGGGGAGTCTACAACTAGAGGGCATAGGGGAACAATTTAAAAGGGACCTAAGAGGCAACTTTTTCATGTAGAGGGTGGTGTGTGTATGGAATGAACTACCAAAGGAAGTGGTGGAGGCTGGTATGATTATAACATTTAAAAGGCATCTGTTTGGGTACATGCATAAGAAGGGTTTATAGGGATTTGGGAAAAATGCTGGCAAATAGGACTGGATTAATTAAGGATATCTGGTCAGCATAGATAAGTTGAACTGAAGGGTCTGTTTCGGTGCTGTTCATTTCGATGACTCTATGACTGCTCAGACTGAACAATATTTTCAAACCCCTCATTTGTTTTTGTTCAATCTTACTATTATTTCCCAAAGGACCAAGGTGCAAATGCAGAGAAACAGATTAAAGCTAAATTTGAAAAACTTCACCTGTTTCTCCGTGAGGAAGAGAGGATTATGTTGGAAGATCTGAAACTGGAGAAAGAGAAAAAGAGTCAAGAGATGAAGGAGAGGATTGAGAAGATAACGGAAGAAATCTCATCACTTTCAGTCACTGTTCAGGATATTGAACAAAAGCTGAGGGAACAGGACACCATCACATTTTTAACAGTAACTATTTATTTTTCTCTCCTTTGCCTCTTTTATTTGAGATTGTCTTGATGAATTGCAGATTCTGTCATCGAAATGTAGAATATAAACCTGACTGAGTAACACACCAATGACCTGTGACATTTGGTTTTCTCTGTCTCACACCCAAGAGCTGTCTTTAACATGGAAATGATACAATCTGGATTGTGCTTCCTGGTGGGAAATATTAGAAGGGAAGATTTTAATGAGCTGAAACAACGAGGAAAATCGGCTTCATAAAGAGTGAGAAACCCTCAGGATGGTCAGACCATTCTCCCCTCAGTGTACATTTCCAGTCCAGTTGCTGGTCAGACACTGGGAACTACAGTGCAGTGTCCAGCCAGGCTGTACCATGGTAATGTTCTTGGCTGGAACTGTAATGATTCTGTCCAGGAGAGAGAACTCTCTACAGGGTCAGATACACAGATAGATAGAGCTTTCTCCCAGCAATTAAAAGATAAATGTTCAGAGCAAAGGAAGGATGTGTCCTCACAAGACAACCATTTATATCAGATTCAATTTGGTTTTCCGTAATTCCCATTAAGTTCAGTGAGCCCCTTGAGACCTTAATAATATTAATTTTCCATTGTGTATTGCACTGCTGAAGGGAGCTGGTGAAGCCCAGTTAGCTGCTTGGTTGGCTTGCAAAGCAATGTGATGCCAAAAGCATGGGTTCAATTCTCATCACAGACTAAGGTTACCATGAAAGTCTCTCCTTCTCAACTCCTCCCCTCACTGAGGTATGGTGGACCTCAGGTTAAATCACCGCCAGTCATGCCTCTCTAATGAGAAAGCAGCTCTATGATCTGATAGGACTATGGCAATCTATGGTACCAGTGTGGGCTGAGGGACAAATGTTGACCAGGACACACAGAGGACTCCAGTAATCCTCTTGGAATAAGGTCTTGGGATCTACTTGCTTCACCTCTCATTTTAATTTCAAAACTACACTTGATTCATCAAAATATCTTTCTATACATAGGCATTAAAGCAGTTTGCTTCTGAACAAATAAATATGGAGAAATGACAAATGTTGGAATTTGACTCTCTCCAACAAAACATCTAAAGGCATTTCTTAATCATACAACTGCATATTTAACTATATTTGAGACACCAGGAGGGTCCGATAACAGAATGGACTCTCATTTACCTTCAGCAGGAAGACTTCAGACAGTGATGTTTCCCAGCTGCGCCTCGGTGGCAGGCTGCCCCGATCTTTAAGATTATGAACTAAATAGATTGGGAATCTATTTCCTGGACTTGGAAATGTGTCAGTCTGCAACATTCAGTCAAGGTCAACTCCTTGTTTGGAAGACCAATACATTTTGGGCAGACCAAAGAGTGTGTTTCACTGAGTTGATCGTCCTCCAGGCACAGTTGATGGTTGTCTTGGCATGTGTCCCAGGGAACAGACCGTACAGCACAGAGTCCTCTGTCACGGAGCTGCTTGGGATGAAACTTAACAAAAACCACTGCATCTTCCTCCAAACTTCCTTTGCAAACGCACATTCTGGAAGGAGATGTGTTACAGTCTCATTCCTCCCTGCAGTTGCATTGGGGGGGCAGTGTGCAGTGATGCAGAAAGTCTGGGCATACATGATTTGCCCTTCTCACCACCAGCCAAGCGATGTCCTGATGTTTGTTGGAAAGTTCTGGTGATGAGGTATTCTGCCAAATGACTTTGACAGTCTGCTCAGGGAGCCATGTGAAAGGATCCACCCTCTCCTTTTCCCTCAGGGTCTGGATGACGCTACGTGCCGACCACTTCCTGATGGATATGTAGTCAAAGGTGTTTCACAAATTTCTCAGTGAAGGACAGGTGATATGGAACAGTCCAATTACTTGGAGCGTTCTGAGGCAACAAGGCCAGTCCCATCCTTGGCAACACCAGGGACAGGTAGAACCTCAGTACGTAGTGATACTATCCAATGGAGAGAGTGTGTGGAACCTCAGTTTGACATCTGTGAAAATCTGGTCCCTCTGACAATTGAGTTGCCACTCAGCTGATTGGTCACTGAGCTCAGAGTGACTCACTGTGAGTGCCCCTGTCATTATAATTCATTCTGTATGCTTCAGGATTCCAGGTTACACAGAGTGGGCTAACACTCTATCTGGAGTATAACTGCAGACAATGATTCGGAGAATGTTTGAGTCCCGATGCTGAACATAATACAAAATGAGCAGCTTTACCCTTTCTAGGAGAGTCAGTGATTTCTATTGGACGCCCCTTGTGTAGATTCCCAGAAATATTTTTCTCCAGGAAGCATGAAAGTAACTCTCTGTAAACAATAAACTATTTCCAGTAATATGACATCCATAGGATTTTCCAATTGGATTTTATCTCTGTGAGTTGTTCTGTGTAGTAAGGTTAAGTTATTTGTAATATTGTGGAGAAACCCAGTCCAGTGAGGACAGGAAGAGACAGTCCATTAACTTCCTGAATTTAAAATGTTAATGTTTTGGGGAATCCAGTGAGGGACTTTTTATGATTAAAGTGTTCTCTAAACACAAACAATAAAAATTGTTCTTGTTCCACAGAAATTTCCGGAAACACAGAAAAGGTAAAATTTACATCATTGACTTGATTTCTGTTTCTAACAAATCCCTCCCACACCATGGAATGATCCAAATCCGACCTTTATCTCCTGTTTCAGAGTGAAGCGAACTCTCCCAGAGCCACAAAAGGTTTATCCTTTAATAAATGTGGGCAAGTACATGGGCTCCCTGCAGTACAGAGTGTGGAAAAAGATGCTGACAGTGATTAATACAGGTGGGTGTGAGCTTCCTGACACCAGCTATTCAACAGTTCTCACATTTATGAGTAGAAGGGAGCTGTCTCTTAATAATAAATATTTAATTGTCTTTGTAACTGATGAGACTTCATTTCAGTCAATTTTCTGCGAAAATAGAATTGACTGATTGCAGAGTCACAGTGACCAGCTCCACCACTGGGCACTCCTAGTATTGGCAAGGGACATTGTTCCTTAGATTTAGTTAGATTTATTTATTTGTCATATGTGCTAAGTATAGAGATACATTAGTACAGCAAAAAATGCACAAAGTTGCCAATTACTGGTGACCACTTGGTTACAAAAACCAGATTTAAGAGATTTAATAGCCAAAAAGGCAGCAGGAAGAAAAAGTCCAGATCTCAGAGTCCCAAGTCCCATCTCCACAATGGTGCAGGGGCCGTCCAATTGCAAGGCCACTGTTGCTGCCTCACTGGCCCGCTCTCACCACCGATACTGCCTCACCGGCCCACTCTCACCACCGATGCTGCCTCACTGGCCCTCTCTCACCGCTGACGCTGCCTCACCGGCCCTCTCTCGCCACCAATGCTGCCTCACTGGCCTGCTCTCACCATCGACGCTGCCTCACCGGTCCACTCTTGCCACTGACACTGTCTCACCGGCCCGCTCTCACCACCGATGCTGCCTCACTGGCCTGCTCTCACCACTGACGCTGCCTCATTGGCCCGCTCTCGCCACCGATGCTACCTCACTGGCCCGCTCTCGCCACCGATGTTACCTCACTGGCCCGCTCTCGCCACCGATGCTACCTCACTGGCCTGCTCTCGCCACTGACGCTGCGTCACTGGCCCGCTCTCACCACTGACGCTGCCTCACTGGCCCACTGGCCCGCTCTCGCCACTGACGCTGCCTCACTGGCCCGCTCTCACCACCGATGCTGCCTCACTGGCCCGCTCTCATCACTGACACTGTATCAATGGCGCGCTCTCGCCACTGACGCTGCCTCACTGGCCCGCTCTCGCCACCAATGCTGCCACACTGGCCCGCTCTCACTGCCGATGCTGCCTCACTGGTCTGCTCTCACCACCGATGCTGCCTCACTGGCCTGCTCTCACCACCGATGCTACCTCACTGGCCCGCTCTCACCACTGACGCTGTGTCAATGGCCCGCTCTCGCCACTGACGCTTCCTCACTGGCCCACTTTCGCTGCCGTTATTGCAGGCCATGGTCCGTGCGTTCAGCTCCCGCCACACTGTTTCCCTTCATGACCCGACTCCTTCGGCAGATAGTTAAAAGGGTGAGGGGGTGGTGGGGGGTGCAGAGAGGAGAGGGAAGAAAGAAAGAGAAAGAAAAGAAATGGAATGGGAACTGGCGAGCAGAGTGGAGTTCCGAATGGAGCAACTTGCCCTGCCGCCATCTTGCCAGAACTCTTCCACCTCCCTTTGTGGATCATTGATCCACATTCTCTTTATCTTTATCCGTCTTCCACAAAACGACATCCACTGACATAAGTATTGCATCTCTCAGAGTGAACTGTTGTCCTGAATACTCCGTCAGTTTCCCAATGGTCCTGTACAAGTCGAGTATGGGGCTCTCCAGGATAGTTGAGATTAGCTGTGAGTTTAGGATCATCCATTGTTTACCTTAATGTTTCTCTCACTTAGGGATGAAGTCCATCTGGTTA